CCAAGACACCAACCGACACAGAGAGGAGGTGGGTAGAATAGCAGCCGAGGTAATGAGGATCTCTTTGAATGGTAAATCCCTGAGTAATCCAGTAATCAGGTTTTCAGCCCAACGAACCGTGTATGCAGGTTGCAGAGATAGCAGGGATTCGACCTCCTCAATGATCCACCCTCGGAGGTGGCCTTCGCAGCTTAATGCCATGGCATTTTGGAATGCCCCCACATGTTTGAACCGCTCGTGGCGCTTTACTAGTACTACTACTACTACTACTACTACTACTACTACTACTACTACTACTGATACGACTCCTACGACGACTACGACTACGACTACGACTGCTACACTACTTCTCCTCCTATTATGACCACTACCAACACCAGCGCCACCGCAGTCGCTAGTGCTGCACGACTGTAAGAGCCTAATGAACCCTCAAAGAGCGTGTGGTTCACATCCCATACAGGGTCTAAGTCATGAGGTATAGGATATAGAGCCCTGTACTTTTGAGGGTTATGTGATCCATCGGGCGTCTTCTTCGCTTACGGAGGGACCTGAAGGATTAGTGGCTGCTATTGTTGTCGCAGCATTGTCATCAAGTAGCACGAATTCGCCCTCATAAGGTCAACTTTTCCTGTGTATGTATTGTCATCATCATGCTTGTATTCATCAGGTCGGGGCATTGACATTGACACACCGAGGTGTTTCGGTGGGATTCTGGAGGCCGCAAGGGAACTGGCCGGTTTGCTTCTGTAGCAACCCGCGCCAAGCTCTCCCTCACTTGCGCGCGCCGACGTTCACCATCGTGATCAGACTGAAAGCTAAGAGGTCGGAAACCCCAGTCCAAACGTGCACAACGTCAGCGAGAGAACTGACTTCAATGCATGACCGGCCATAACCTTCAAATCCCTGACTTGCCTTGACGAGATCGTCGGATGAGCGCACCAGCGTCTCCGTGACACCTTCGAGCCGCTGACCAACCTGGATCTACAGTTCTATAGTCTACAAGTGCTTGGACGGCGAGGGAACGCTGGTCTTCGCTTCAGATGATTCAGTCCTGCAGAGTTCTGCAGGCTTGGAGCAACGGCTTGGGGGGGGCTCTTCTCTTCTCTGGAGAGATGAATTCTGCCGCTTTGCGAGTAAATCGCTCAGTTGCTGCGCAGACCGCAATTACGCAGCACTTCATGGGGGTTCAAGAGTAGGTGAACAGAAATCATATGAAATCATGTTTGCACATCAACCCAGACTTGGAAAGGGCACGAAGAGCATGACAGGAGTTCACCTGCTTCCAGTCAATTCTCTCACACAGTGCAGTCGGGCGGCGGTGCCATCTGCCTGCATTCGTGTCAGTTCGGCAATCCGTTGTATTGATCATCCCACCACTGCCACCAGGCAAAAGCGACTTCTGACGGACAACCTGCCGCGACATACCTCGAAATCCTGAAGGCCTTTGCGCACTCCCGCCCTGCCCAAAGATCAATGCAAAGCCTGCTTGTAGCTCTTCAACTCCAGCTTGGGTGGCTCCTGCATGTTCCATGCGCTACACTGCCAAGCACTCCTGATCCACCCAAGGACTCGAGGTCGAGAGATGCTTGGAAATTACAGGGACTTGACAGCCCCAACGATAGACAGCACAAGCAGCGTGTCGCACGGGTCCGCACTTTGCAAGGGATCTCTCTTCGGTACCAGGTTCCCCGTTTGGTGGGTGCATCTGCTTCTGCGTGGAGGTAGTGGGGGGAGTATTTCGTCCTTGTTCTTGGAGAGTAAGTCGCGCAGGTCCTGATCATGGCTTTCTGGTGCAGATCATACCGTGAATGCCGTGGTCTGAGTTCTCGACAGAGAGGTAGAGCTCGATCATGGACGCCCGCACTTCAAAGTCGAACCTGGAGTCAAGAGCCGCAGACGACCCAAACACATGCGATGGGCTCGGCCCGCTGCTTCTCTCGGTCTCTGTGAACCACGCGGAAAACTTCCTGCACTGCCCCCCAGCTGTACACTTCAAACGAGAAGCAACGAGCGGCTACTGAGTACAAGTAGTCCTCCCGTGCTGAAACCTATATAACCATAAACCATCATAAACCAGCATGAAACTGCTGAAGGCACTTCTGCAGTTGTTCACACCAGTTCACACCCTCCTCGCATAGTCGAGGCGAGAGACCAGGCTCTGCACCGGAGCCGTACCTCAGCTGCCCCCTTGATGTAGTTCCGAACTGGCGGTGCACGATGCAATCGATGGCTTTACTGCAAACGGCGTGGACCGTTGCCACAGTTTTGCCACAGGCGAAATTGCCAGCTGCACGGGATTGGTAGAAACTGAGAGAACCGCAGCGTCCATGTCTTTCCAGCTCCAGTTTGGCCGTACCTCCCCACGGAGATATAGAACAGTGCACGAATCTGCACCACATCCCACTGTTGGAACCCCACAATGCAGCTCGCTGCTGCAGGCAGCGGGAAGGGCACGTGAAAACCGTCACATTGTATCCGTCGATCATGCTCTGTACCTCAGCAACTTGCTTCTTGCATAGGCCACAGGCACGGCCCAACTTCTGATCTCTGTGATTACCGACTGGGTGCAGCGCCAAGCCCTTGCACTCCACGAAAACATCCGCCTGGGAGCTACCTTGGGCTCTGCACCGTCGTGCGTCAGCTGCCGTTGCTTGCAATCAAGACCATGCCTTGACCGAAGATGGCATCGTACGCGAAGGTCTAGCCGGGAGCCATGGGAAGGAAGGAGCACAGAGCATCGTAGAGCAACTGCAATACAGCTTCGAATGGACAACTTTACAACATCGGAACCGGCCTGCTTGTCGGTCTCCGATTTGTTTACGGCAACGGTGAATGAGTCCAGGATCTGAAGCAGCTTAACCATCAGAAGTATCACTGAAGTTTTTTTAACTCGCGACGAGCAGGACAGCCGGAAGCCTCCACAGCGATAGTGTCATTCTTCTTGATCTCTCGCCCATTCAAGGGCCTGCGTACGACATGCGAAACTTCTGCGCCCAGTTGATGTGAAAAGTCGGATCCGGCCTGACCCTGCAAAAGACACGGAGTGCGCCCTTCAAGTCCTGAAGGTCCTGGCGCAGGCGGCGGTCTGTCGACACACAGTCAAGGGTAGACGAGCGGGCGCGGCGTTATGGAATCCCCGCAGCTGCTTGTCACCGTTCTCCCGGAGAATTCCCACGAACTGCTCCTCGGGTGCCCAGGTGAAACTCCTACACTCACGGAAAAGCGCGGCGATCGGCCCAAGCCGAAGACCGGCAGCCCGGCTGAGGACGGATCCAGGAGGGCAACCCGGGCCATACGGGCCTCTCGGTCGTGCTCGCTGCGAGCCGAGGCGATATCCTGAAAACTAGATGAAGCCAATTGTAAGTTGCATTGGGCGTGACAGGCGCAGACTCACTTCGCCTCTTCAGTGATGCTACGAAGCTGTACCATGGCACCGGCATGCTCCTTCCAGGTACCAGGGCTGCTTCATGCCGGCTGTATGCACACGAAATCACGAAAGAGCTTCAGTCTTGAGCAGAGGGTTCTCTCCTCGTTCAGCAAAAGCTGCCGGGAGGCCGAGATGCCTGGTGGAAGGAGGCGACCGCTCTGCAGACGCACCGCCGCCTGAGAGGTTGACCTTTGCGGATCTCCGCGGGGCTGCGAGACTCGAAAGCCTCACGGGGGAGCCCCTCGGAAATGAGCACTTGTGCACAGCAGCTCAAGACCTTCAGCTCACCTCTCCCCGCCTGGGAAAGCGTGCTCTTGGCCTCCAGCGTCATCTTCCTGCGTCAACCCGGAAACTGGACCGCAAAGGCGAAAGGTCTGGGAATTAGAAGATATTAGAAGGTGTGCATAGCATGGCATAGCACTTCTGAACTTCGCGTGGTTGCTGCAAGCCTAGGACCTGGGAGATGTATTGCCCGATGCGCTTCTATCAGGGACTCAGTTACCGGTATATCCGCGAAGGATCACCCAAAAGACCAGAATTTGCTGACCTTCAACAGACTCACATGTCCCCTGAGCATCTGGCTCGAGGTCTTTCGTCAGTTGCGCCAAGACCTGCTCCGCATCCCTGACCTCGGTCAGCAAGTCCCATAGCTCAAAGGTCTTTGTATGTCTTAGTTGAATGTTGATTGAGTCGCCTGCTGTGGAAAACGGTTAAAGTTGAGAGTGTCGGCATTACTCATTCCACTCGCTCCAACCGTTCCACTCGTTCCACTCGCCCCTCGCCCCGCCTGTTCCACTTGTTCCACTCGCTGCATACATACTGTGTGGCGCATGTGGAGCGAGTGACGCGTGAATCAAGGCCCGCGGCTCATCATGGCTCACTGTCCGGAATCCGAAGCCCGAAACCCAGTGTTCAAGTCGCGAGGTTGAGGAGATGACCGTCAGTGGGGCTGAGCTCCGTACGTCAGCGCCGAAGCGGGTGGCTTCTGCAATTGCATTGCGCAAGCCCTCCAACACGCCAACATGGAGGATCCTCAGAACGTGTCATATGGACGCACAACGTGAAGAACTCTGAGCTCACAGGTCCGGGCCCAGCTTCTTGCACCAGCCTTGGCTCAGTGATGCTCAGTGGCTCTTCGGTGGCCTGCTGGACTGCTGTCTGGTTCTTGCGAGGCCGGGAGACTCCACCTCACCACGCAGACGCTGCTCTGCCACACCTGTGCCGGGCCGTGCCCAACCCTTGGAAACTCATAAATCAGACATCGTCTCCGTTGCTCCGAGCATGCTGGTAAGCTGGAAGATTTGGGCCTATATAGGGCCCAAGGGATATTGGCCATGTATCAGAGGGCAGCACGCTTCTCGTTCAGCTGCTTGTCAGCAATGATGCCTGTCGCGACTCTCCGATTCCGAGACTCTCAGGCGAGCTGACCCTGAGGCGAGTGATGGAGACAGAAGTCGAAATTTTCGCTGAGCACGACTCTCCGTGCCATTCTCGAATCAAAGCACGCAACATCCGAGCAGGCTGACGCTTGAGATCCGCGATCGTCTCCGGGACAACGGCCTGCACTCCAAGCAGACGGTTTTTGGAGGGGCTGGCTGTCGCTGACTTGCCGGCTGAGTCAGGTCCAAGGCAAGGCAGAAGGTCTGCCTCCGCTCTGGCGATGGCGCCCTTGCTCACGAGCCGCCTGGGTGGTCATGAACAGAGGGAGAAGAGGCGGCGGAGGCGCAGGCTTTTTCAAGACAGCAAGTTCTTGGACTGCTGGCGCTTTTTTCGCTTCTTGGATGGCATCCTTGAGCACCACAATGACGCCGCCTGCAGGCCATAATGAGAATCTGAAACGGACCTAGAGAGTCTCTACCACAGCTGGCCTTCGCCAAGCATCTTCTCTACTTCAGCCGAGGATTCCATGCGTTCTGCCTCCAAGGCTTGCAGCTTCTCAGTCAAAGAAGACGTGCTCGCTGACTCAAAATAAAAGCTGCACAGGCTTACTCGACATGACGACGTGATCAAGGTCGGACATGCAACTGCACGATGTGAAAGTATGATTGTCGAAAGTAACTACATACATCCACTACATCACTTGTGGAAGCAGCAGAAAGAAGTAGCTGTACGTACGGGTGCAGGCAGCCGCGCGCAGCTCCCTCAGCAAAACGAACACAAAAGGAACATGGGCTGCGTCACCGCGTGACGGGCACCCAAGCATGCCAAAAGATGCTCAAAGCGGGCAAGCTGCAAGAAGCAGAGCTGGAGAGGGCACAGGGAAACAGCTCGATACGATACTGCAATCTTTACTCTCTAAACTTTAAGCCTTTTTCAACACGGATCATACAATGCTTCCTGCCGCTGGTGCCCCCCAAGTACAGAAACTGGTGTGCACAACATCGGCACCATCTGCACTTGTGAAGAGTGCGCCTGCGGGCAACTATGCGGTACACATGCGCATGCCCGCCTCCAGAGGTCAACAGTGGCGGAATTATGCCAGCCCTGTATATGGGGTTTGCGCCTGGCTCTTCGCCTCCACTGCAGCGGCAACACGCCGCTCCATCAGCCGTTCCTGACGACTTCCAGAGCTCTCTCAAATAAACAAACCTGTGCAGCAACACGCCGCTCCATCAGTCTTTACGTCTTGAGCCCCAGCGGATCTCAAACCGTGAACCGCTTCTGCGCCTTGTCGCCGGCAAGCTCCAAGGCGTCAGACAAGTCTCGCAGCAGGTGCTCGAAGGAGACCAGCTCCTCTGTCTTGGCTTGAGACTGTCCTAACTCTTTGATAGCGCTCCAAACATGGCCTCCACAGAAAGGCCACACTCCTTCGCATGGCTGTAGGCCTTCTTCGCGGCCTCTTGGAACCAAGAAGACGTCCGAGACTGAAGCATACTGAAGCGAGACACCACCTGGCCTGGAGGTCCTGAGACTCTAGGGCCTGCATCAAGGCCTGTGTGGCGAGTTCCCGACGGCGAAGGCCTGGCCGCAGATGGCCGCAGACTGGGTCCTGCGCTCCTTGCACTCTCTCGGCCTTCGAGAACTTGAAGAGACTCTGCTGCTGCCTTGCGACTCAAGAACCATGCCCCTCAATTACACAGCTGCTTCTAGCGAGAGAAGCAGAGAGAGATCCTGACACATTCCGTGTGTCTTAAGGCCACAGGATGGGCCTGAAGCTCCGCCTGAGCCCGGCAGGCCTTGCCAGTCCTGGCAGCACACCATTTAAAAAACATTTCTCGACTGCTGCGCACTGGCACTGGAGAGTAAACTAAGCGAATATACGCGAAAGGCCAAGGCCCCAGCGAGATTGCCTCGGAAAGGTTTGAGATGCGCTCCTGCTCAGGAGCTGATCTCGCAGCGAAGGGAGGCTCGAGTCTACTCCCTAGCCCTAGACCTGCCAAACTGCATAAAATGGCCAGGGTCTCCTCCCCAACCGCTATCTAAGCCACGACCCAAGCACTGCCTCCAGAGTTTCACCACTTTCAGGGTTCGGCCACGGCTTCAGCAGGATCTCGCGGAGCCTTGCGGAGCGGAGCGTGGCAACGAAAAATGCCAAGACATGTTGAGATACTGCTGGCCGGAGTCACGAATGCGGATGGCAGCCGAAACATGAGACAATGCTGGTTTCCCCCAACCTGGACCCTCGGAAGCGTAGTGAAACACCCCAGAGGCAAAAGCCAAAGCTGCCAAAGCCTTTTCGTGGCTGCTTCCCGCTGCTGGATCTCTTCTCGGATCTTGGACAGTGTCTCGTTGGCCGCATCTGCCGACACGTTTGCTCCGAGCACAAAAAGTCTCGCAGAAAATGCTAAGTGGTAGCATGCTGCGACACTAACTCAGCAGGCAGCCTGCCTATTTTGTCTCGCCCCACACCCACCTGGAGTGTGCAGTGCGGGAGGATAACCGATCTCAAGCAGTCCACCCTCTTCAGCAGATGGCAATCACGAAACAGTGCCGAGGTCAGGCCTCTGTCGCGTGGGCGATGGCACGGACAATCTCCTCAAGATGGCAAACATCATGAGCTCCATAGTGTAGTCACTTGCAGCCTACACACTAAGTGACATGTACAGCAGGCCGTGAAATGGATGCTACTCAGTTTGCGGGGGTCGGCAGGTTGCAAGGTCTCCACAACACAATGGTACGTGCCCGGCCTCGGGATCCCCGTCGCTACAGGCTCCACGCAGGCGATGCCTCAGATCCGATCCAGCGCCGGGTTTATATTGATGGACTAGGGCACTTGTTCGAAGAATCGCGGCAGCAAGTTTACCAATTAGCTGGCAGCTCGTCGAAGAGTTACATGAGCTCCGCACTCCGCAGCGCGGATCGCCTCAGTTCAACCGGAGCCGCTCACGAGGCACATGTCCGGAGCACAGTACATTGCAGTAGCAGCGCATGTGCAGAGTGAGGTGCTGAACAGGACTTCAACCCGGCTCTGGCCTCCATCTCGGCGATCTGGTGAAGCACCCGCACAGCAGCCTCCGCCTCCTGGGGATCTGCGACTGCAACCAGCGAGCCGAAAGCTCCCTTGCACGTCCTTCTCCGGGATCCCATCTTCCTTCCGTGGTTCGGTCCGATTTAGTGGCAATCAAACTTAAACCACATGCCGGACTCCGACCTCCGCTGTCTGCAGGCAGATCTCGATCTGCTCCTTGCTTCGGCTCGCCATCGCTTCACACAATGCCTGGAAGCGCGCGGATTTGCGCTTAGTTTCTCAGTTCACAGCAGGGAGCTCTGCAGAGAGAAAAGCACATCGACAGCCCCGGGCTGCCCGCCTCCAAAGCAAGCTTCCGTCGCTCCGCCTCACGCGCCGCCGCCTCCTGCGCTTCGCGCTCCGCGCGCTCCGCGAGCTCCGCGGCCTCGCGCTCCGCCCGCGCTCGCTCCGCCTCCCGCCGGGCTTTCTCTGCGGCTTCGCGCTCCGCCGCCGCGGCCGCAGCCGCCGCAGCCTCGGCCTTCTCCCGCTCCAGGCGCTCCAGGCGCTCTCGCTCGGCCAGCTCCTCCGCCTCGCGGGTGCGCGCCTCGCGCTCTGCCCGATCAGCCGCTTCTTTGGCGCGCCTCCGCAGCTCTGCACAGCACCCAAGAGCCAAGAGGCCCTTTTTGTTTGAGTTGAAGTCATTCATTCAGGCCTCTCTTCTTCCAGCAGACGCTCCTCTTCCTGGCCTAAAGTCGCGCCAAGACCAGACTCTATCAGTGGCGGAAGACAGAACGAAGACCTCAGCGTCCGACGGCGCTCAGTTTCGGCCCTCTCGGCCTCCACTCGGCCTCGTCAGCACAAACGTCCGATGATCGCTACAGTATGGTGTTCAATGCCGCTAACTGAGGGAGTAGCGCTCTTCCTCCTCGCGTCGCCTGGGTGGATGCTCGTGGGAACTAGCCATGCTCGGGCATCGGGTGGCAACTGCAGCATGTGGGATCGCAAGAATGAGCCAAACAAGCGATCTGCATAGCCCTCCGCGACATCTTTTGTCAATCAGCATGTCAAGTCAAGTCACAGTACAGATTGAACCTACATGAGCAAATTCACTTTAAACTATTGGCATGCCCGGTGTCAACAGTTGCTGAGAACACTGTGGGGTGTTGTGTTTGAGCTGTCACGAGCTCAGCGATCTGGATCGTCAAACTCTGGAATTCCACCTACTGATGGCTCGCCCCCGATCTCGTCGATGATCTCCTGATGCCTCACATCCAGCGGCGTGTTGCGCTCGTGCTCCTTCTCCTCTTCGCGCTCTTGGCGTTCTCGCTCCTCCCGCTCCCGCTGTTCCTGCTGGATCGCCTGCTGCTCGCAGGCCTCCCGGGCGGACTGAGGCTCGCGAGGGCACTGTGGGTAGCGGTTGATGTCTGGCTCTGGCTCCGGGTGCGACTCATGTCGCGGTGGAGGGGAGGGCTGCGCTGCAGGCTGCTCTGCGGGCTTCTCCGTCACCGGGATGATGATTTGAGGCTCGTTTCCTGGCTTCAAATCCTCTGGCATCGGAATAACGCCAGGAAGGGGCTCCTCGGGGGTCTCCTCGGGCTCCTCGATCTCGGGTGGGGGCACGAGACTTGGAGTCTGCGGCGGGATGATGGGCTCTTCCGCGGGTGCTGGCTTTTCGGCGGTGGCTGGTGCCGCGGGCTCGGGTACCTCCGGCTCAGAGGCGGGCGCCTCAGCTGCTGGCTCCATGCACGGCTCTGGGCATTTGTCAGGGCGCTTCTGGTGGATGCTGGCTTGGAATTCCGCATCCGAGGAGGATGGCGAAAGGCCAGGATACCAGTGCGAGTGCTGGCGGATGCCCGTGTGCTTTGCCCACTGGATGTCGTTGTAGCATGATTCGCCCTTCACAGCTGTGTGGCATCCCACTGTGTTTGCACATGGCAAGGCACACTTGTCGGGCGAATGCGAATGGACGATCTCCTGGAAGGCGGCATTGCTAGAAGAGGCAGTCAGCCCTGGATACCAGCTTGGATGCTGGCGGATGCCGGTCTGCTTTGCCCACATGATGTTCTTGTAGCAGACGTCACCCGGCACTGCATTTTTGCAGGTCTGCTCCGAACGCAGGCTAACTTTACTCTGCAGCGCATTCACAGAGCAAGAGGCATCCGAGCACTCGTCGTCCCTTGCAAGAGAATCCTCAGGAGCACTCAGTGCATAGGCACCGGCGCATATCGACAAAAGTCTAAACATCGCTTTCTGCGGTTGATCAAAAGGGAGGGCCAGGGAAGGAATGACTGGGACAGCCCTGGTCTGAGCCGGTGCCGCGTCCCAGGTCGCCAGTCCACGCCCGCGCTGTGTCAAAATCCAGGGCTACGATTCTTGTAACTGCACGCTGAGTTAGCAGCGCTCGTTCCTCCTCTTGCTCCTTGTGGATGCGGCATGTAGTAATGTAGCAGAATTGCAGCAGCACTAGCAGTCACTAAGACAGAAATGCAGCGAACCTCCATTGGCGTGGGCTCTGCTAGCTTCGTCACCACCTGGCAACCACGGAAGTGTGAAGCCGACGCCTCTTCCTAAAAAGGGTTGCCGACGGTGTCAAGCGGTGCAGTGGTGTGCCTGCGCGACGTCTGCCCCGGCCATGAGATCCTTCGGCGGTGGGCAATTCCGAGAGATGCACTGAAGCTCTGCGATCGGCTATTATTGCAGAAGTGCCCCCATGGCTGCACTCTCCTTCAAGTGCCTCTCAAGGTCGTCCTGCAATTGGATACACGCTAAAATAAGCGGCTGGGCAGCACCGGTGCAAAGACTAGCGAAACCACCCTCACCGAGCACTCTTCTTCACATTCACTTCCACAGTCTTTTGTAACAGATGCAGAACTTATAGCACGTGTAACTGCCACTGCCGCTGCCATGTTGACTTGCATTCTCGTGCCAACGCCTGAGTACGAGATCCGCTCAGCGCCTGAGGGCTCTTGGCCTCCTGGATCCAACACATGTGGGGGGGCCCGAGGGGGCCAACATCCCGGAGTGTGCTGCTTCGACCCACCTCGCCGACGCCGGCTGCACGGAGACGGAGGTCCTCATGCAAAGAAGACATCAGGCTTATAGCAACGAGTCAGGACACTCCCTCACTTCGGACCGAGAGCCCAAGACCCCGCCTCAGTGCTCGTGTCCCCGAGAAGCGCTTGCACCTCGGTGCCGTTGAGAGTCCATGACATCGCCTGCAGGGGCTCATGCAACTCACCACAAAGCACATGCTTCAGGGAATTCAAGAAAGAATTCACATATCCTTCTCCAGCAAAACTGTCCCGGTGGACCCACCGAATCAGAGCCGCTGTTCTGAAGACTACCGAGGTCCATCGTGATCCACTAAGCATGAAGATCTTCCAAAAGATGACCAAACACATGCAGGGATTACAGCGATCTCCAACCCCTTTAAAGTACCTGGCTCTGCTCCGACTCCACACGCTGCAGGCCAACCTGCAAAAGAGGCGGCTACACGAGAAGAGCCGTCCCGAAGCGGTTTAGGGTTTAGGGTTTAGGATTGAGGGTTTAGGGCCTCTGGAACCTCCAGGTGATCAGGCAGGTCGGGCTGGATGGACTGGACCTGCCAGAGAGCACAGGAAAAACCACCCCACCCGCAAACTCCATGCCTCCTTCAAAACCTGGTTCAAGAGGTTGGCCTCCAGAGCCAGTGAGTGAATGAGTGAATGAGGGAGTGAGTGACCGAGTGAGTGAGGGAGTGAGTGAGGGAGCGAGTGAGGGAGGGAGTGAGTGAGTGAGTGAGTGAGTGAATGAGTGAATGAGTGAATGAGTGAATGAGTGAATGAGTGAATGAGTGAGTGAGTGAGTGAGTGAGTGAGTGAATGGGTGAATGAGTGAATGAGTGAATGAGTGAATGAGTGAGTGAGTGAGTGAGTGAGTGAGGGAGTGAGTGAGGGAGTGAGGGAGTGACTGAGTGAAGGCCACTGATCGGGGTTCTTGAGCTTGAATTCAGCGCGGGACGATCGAGCAACAGCCGAGCCCTTAACGTGCTCAGAGTCGGGAGTCAGAGCAAGCTCGTGCACCCTCGGAGCATGGGCCCACATCGGCACTCCAAAACGAAGAAGCCAGGATCAAAAAGGCCACGGCTCTTCTTGGGCTGCAGTCTCCGATACGGGCACCTGTCAGCTGAAGAACAAAGGAACTGTGATGCGAGCACACCAAAACCAGGTCTGAGTAATTACATGAGTAATTACGACTTACAGCTGCGCCAGTCCTCGAGCAACAACGTAGGGCGATGGCTTTCTATACCGACCTGTGGCATCCACGTGTGCACTCCACTCTTTTGGAGCCCTCGCGTTGGTGACGCACTATCCGGCACCATCTTTGAGCGACGGGCAGTGGCATCTGTGGATGAAGTCTTTCTTACAGGCCCTGAGCCGCGATATTTTATGCTGAAGCATCTGACGACATTTGGACAGACTCACGGCTTGCAAGTTTTTTGCCGCCTCCTTCTTGCGTGCTGCCTTCGTCTTGGGGAACTCCTGGAAGGCTGCTCGGCGAATCCTTATCGTGGACGAGGCACGAACCAGATTGCTCGAGCGGCCTGCACGCCAAGGCGGCGACGCCGTCCCTCTCTTCCCAGAGATAGGTCAGGGTGCGCTCCTCAATTCCAGACTTCCAGACTCGAGCTGCCCAAGTGCAAGCTGCAAGCCCATCCTGAGAGCCGCGCCCAGGCGCTTCCCAAACGCTTCTCTTCAAAAGCCTTTCACAAGAACTTCTGATTCTGGTCAAATGCACCGACTCGCAATGAAGCTCCGGTCACTCCAGGCATTGCTCGCCTCGTCCTTCTCCGTCTCCTCCTCGTCGTCGGGGATCTCACCTGCAGCTGAAGATGGGTTTCTGAGTCGTGAGACGATTATGGACATTACAAGTAGCAAAGTGGTGGTTCACAGGGCAACGGCGGAGGTCCCAACAACAGGTTTCATGGTTTTCTAGGTTTACACTACTGCGGGCAAACTGCTATGTCTATGCGTAGCGAGGCGCGCTCTTGAAGGAAGCAAGGCAGGGCGTGCCGAGCGTCTTCCCCCAAGGCGTGGAGGGTGGGTGAGAAATTTTCTCTGCAAGGCTGCTAGCCCAAAGTCATGCGTGTTTTCAAAGTTCGAGCCACGTGTTGCAATGCGGTGCAAGTCATGCCCTCCTGAGATCTTGACTGAAAAACGAACGCACAGCGAACGTCTGCACTATTCACCGGTCCTGATTCGACACCTCCTCAAATGCCACTCCGTACGACTGATGCTACCACAAATCGGACCTCGCTGGCCCTGGCACTTAGGGACGGCGCGTTCGATTGGCAGCTCTGCACAAACCTGTCGGCCTTGCTGGAGCTCGCCGGCACCCAACACCTCACTGGACCTTTGTCTTTCCTTCCCTCCGGCACAGACCCCAACATCTGTGTGGGGGGGGCGCGCACGCGCAAGAAAGACCACAA